TCCTGGTGATTGGCCCAAAGTCACCCAATTGGCTTTCATGGCTAAGGCGGGACTAGAACTCCCCGTCTCCTGGTGATTGGCCCAAAGTCACCCAATTGGCTTTCATGGCTAAGGTGGGACTAGAACTCCCCGTCTCCTGGTGATTGGCCCAAAGTCACCCAGTTGGCTTTCATAGCTAAGGCGGGACTAGAACTCAACGTCTCCTGGTGATTGGCCCAAAGTCACCCAATTGGCTTTCATGGCTAAGGCGGGACTAGAACTCCCAGTCTCCCAGTTTGTAGCGTGTTGCTTTTGCCAGTGGACCAACCTTCTCCTCTGCGTCCCTTACGCCATCCTTCCCTCCTCCTCCTCTTCAGGAGCCCCACTCTCGGGGCCACACGTCTCGGCCAGAAGCCCAGAGCCTTTCGCCGTACACCACCAGCGCCAACCGGGCCAAGTTGCTGGCGAAAAACCGCCAGACCTTCCTTCTGCAGACCACCAAACTGACTCGCATCGCCCGGCGCATGTGCCGGGATATCTTGCAGCCGCGGCGGGCCGCCCGGCGCCCTTACGCGCCCATCAACTCCAACGCCATCAAGGCTGAGTGTAGGTGGGGGAGGGAGTGTGGGGGGGGAGGGGTGGGCAGGAAGAAGGGGGTCTGTTAAGTAAGGTGGTGGCTCTTCCTTCCCTTCCAGGCTCGATCCGGCTTCCCAAGGCGGCCAAGACGCCCCTGAAGATCCACCCTTCGGCCCGTCTTCCTCTGGCGACCATTATCAAGGAGCTGGGTAAGGGGCCCCTGCGTGTGATTGGTTCTCTCTTGAGGGGGGAATCTCTTCCTCACTTTCCCGGACAAGTGTTAGCGAAAGGAGATTCGCATGCACGTCCCCATCTCATTCCCTTCGAAGGAAGGAAGGTCAGGTAGAATCGGGAAGGAGAGGTGGTGGATGGATGGATGGAACGGAGGGAAGGAAGGAAGGAAGAAGGGACTGAGGAAAGGAGGAAAGGAAGGAAGGAACAAAAAGATGAGAGATGAAGGAAGGAAGGAAGGAAGGAAGGAAGGAAGGAAGAAGAGACCGAGGAAGGGAGAAGGAAGGAACAAAAAGATAAGAGACAAAGAGAGAGAGAGAGAGAGA